GCGTATGCACCGGTTGATGAAACTCGGTGGGTAGACATTGGCCGAACTAAAATATTTTCGATGAGCGTTCAGACAAATTTCTCTACCTGTTTACTGTAGGGCGTCTCAAAACGACCTACTGCGACGACAAGAAACATCAGTGTGAAGCAGTAGTATGAATTACCCGTCGCTGCTATTTTCCCAGTCTCTGGTGAAGAATCGCCGACTGATTTCGCAACGTCAAGGGAATAGCATTTTCGTTCCAGCGATCACATATTCTTCTCAGATTGATATTTTCTCTAAAAACTAGTTAATCCTCGCAAAGGGAACACTTGTGTCAAAAAAGCTTTGCAGAAACGGTCACACAAAATAAAACTGAAATCTTCAAAATTACAGGTGGCAATCCAAGTCACCTTTGTTGCTAATGGCTTTCCATCTACTTGAACGGTAAAAGTATTTGCTCTTGCATTAGATACTTCAGAAAACATAGTCCTGGTGAAAGGGTGCTTACCGTTCGTTTCGTGGGACATACCCATCTTGTTATGCCCTGTCGCACACTATCTTTAGCCCCTTCCCCCGGCAAGTGCGTTGCTTTATGAATGCAAATTTTGTGGTGATAAATAATCTCAGTATAATAAATCTTTTTTTAACCAAAAGGCACCATTTCCTCAAGTATTCAGTTTGAAGGAGGCGCAGTTTTCTACAAAACAAGAACAAGAAGGCATATTTTGTTGCACTTTTCTATAAAATACCCTTGGATTTATAAGAGCGAGTGAAAATCAATCAGTGAGAAGCGCACTACCTAAGCAGCCATTATTGCATAGCATACAGTTTGCCGGCGGCCAAAGGGAAACTTGTTGAAAAGGCGGCATTCTGAGTGCAAGATGTCACAACGCTAGTGCCGTTTTGAAAGCAGTTCAATTTGGCCTACTTTTGACAATTTTACAATGACGTTTACCCACGATGTCGATGTTTTTGTGCCTAATGTTATTCCTTTTGAATGGGGGGGACGCTTTTTGTGATAATTTTTTAATGATATTTTCTAAATAAACCCTATTGCTCTCTCTCTTCATCGTCTTAGCCTTTCAACGTTCCCGGAGGATAAAGTGCATATTCTCGTCGCCGAAGTGACAGGTACGCCGGCAGAAGGTGCCGACTATAGTCTTTCCGTGGAGCAGTTTCCGGGGGCCTTCGAACAGACCGGTTGGTCCAACAGTCCTCCACCCTTCACCAGTGAACTTGTGCAGAGCACGAGTGGCGTAACTTTGCGGCTGCTATCCGGTTCAAACTTCCTTTACCAGCGTCTTCATCAATATATCATACGGATTCGCGGTTGTCGCAAACCAACGGATCCCCTACTAGGCGACATCTGCAAGGATATGGTGCTCACCTTCGAACTGGAGGATGTCAATAACATGGTACCGCAATTTATTGACCTGTGGCTGTTGAATCAGATCTCTATTCCCGAAAACAGTCCAAATGGAACGGAGGTGCTCAGGATGTTCGCCGTGGATACCGATACAGTGCCAAACTTTCGTGAAGTTAGTGATCAGTCACTATCAGTTTATTGACGGAAAGATAGCTGAACACTTTTGAACTCCTTATTAGTAACAAGATGTTAGGAAATATGTGGATACAAAGAAGAATTGAAAGAAGTACGTCAGTTCCATGCTTGCGGGGGGAAACTGAGCAGGTGTTGGTTAGTCTGAATAGTAATAAAACATGTCTAGTCGCTTATCACGGGTACTATATTGTACTGCCTGTGTATGCCTGTCTGCCCATTTGGTCCATGAACCCGCCCCTCTTCTTCTTCCTTTCCTTTGGGAGATGATGAATGCAACAACATATCTGGATCCCAAATCTTTCGGCACGTATTTTCTTTTTATATACCAAAAGGTTCGGGGTCCAGATATGCTATCGCGTTCGTCATCTCCCATAGGTAAAAAAGAAGAAGAGGGGCGGGTTCATGGACCAAATTAAAGTTTAACTGACGTTTCGAAAACCTCGCTTTCATCGTCAGGGTGTTGTGGTAGCTGCGTCTGGTGGTCTTGACCTAGCCAGCCTCGCCGTCTGCCTCAAATTATATCGGTCTTGGACGTGTGAACTTTCACCTGCCCGTTCGTTGCCGACCACATTTGGCCTCCCGGAGGTTGGCTGCTAGTGGGCTTGCGTGAACTTCGTCCCCTCTGCGGTCAGCATAGTTGTAGACGAGACCATATGCTTGCCGGCCTCCCCTACGTCACCCGGCGGACTGATCACTCGTTGCTGTTCGCTTGGGTTGTTCTTTGCCTCGCGGTTGTAACGGTGAGACAGTGTTTGATGTTGGTCGCGTGACCTCCGACCTCCACCCCTATCTTTCGTGGGCGTTGGCTCTCGATCCTGCTAATCATTTGCCCTACCGACTCCGACCGATTTGATTCGAGCCTTGTGCGGAGTGCTTGGTAGGCAAGGTTCAAGTCGATAGCTCTGTTGATTGTGCTATGAACCCGGCCCCTCTTCTTCTTCCTTACCTTTGGGAGATGATGCACGCGATAGGAAGCATATATAGGAACTATTATACAGTGTACCCGACAAGAAAAACTGAGACCGGAATGGCCATTTCTGGCTTATTAAACGTCATCAGCGAGTTATACGTAATATCAAGAGTAGGCAGCCCGAGATTCGAACCCTGGACGTTCGGTCATTGAGAACAGCATTTCATAATTACACCATAAACTGATTGTTTCTATCGGCTGCGATGGAGAATAGGATGAACGGTGGGGCGCTCGGGGATATCGCTGTGGAAGATGCTCGTTCCGTATTGCCTTGGCGTTCAATCTAGAGCCGATTGCCTTTGTTGCTTCCACTTCATCATATATAACAAGTCACTATGCGACGGCGTGTGAGAGCTCTAGATTGAGCTCCAAGGCAAAACGCGACGAGTCTGTTTCGCGACCAGATCGATGAGTGCTCTATCATTCAATCTTTCAGTATTTCGGCTAACATTTCATGAGAGCGAGATAGCAGCCACGCCTGAGATCGGACTGTGTATATTGATTTAGCAGCTTACACCAAGTATCAGGGAACACGGTGACGCCTCCGACTCCTAATTTGATGCTCGATGCCCATTTATTGCTCATCCTTCACAAAATCTCTCTCCATCTCTTCAGATTTCCCTCCGAGAGCATGGAAATTGAATTATTTTTGTCTAGATTTTTCTCCTTAA